CGGGATGTCGCCATGGCGACCGGTCCCCAAGGCTGTCCTGAGCACCCAGGGAGGAGGCAGAGAGGCTCCTCCCCAGGCCCGGCCCGACCCTGCTGCCCAGTCCACCCACAGGCGCCTCTGGGAGCTGCGACCCAGAATCTCGCTCTCCCTTTTGCAAGAAGGTCCCTGTGACACCAGGTCACCCCCGGGGGACGGTGACACGGTCCTCGGAGCCACTCTTGGATTAGGACCGTCTACCAGGGACACTTCCATGCGGTCAGAGTGACCGCAGTGGATCTTCCCGGCTGAGTGGCTCTCTGTGCTGTGCGCCTTAGGAGACTGGGCACCCTCTCTGGGCCCCACCTGCAGGGCGGCCCCTGGCTGGCCACGGTGCTGCAGGGTGTCCCCTTGGGGCTATGTGAGGTGACGTGAGGGGGACAGAGGCAGAGAGGACTGTCCCCAGCAGGTGCTGCTCACAAGGGTCGCTGGTGGCCCCAGGGGTCAACCAGGGCAGCTGGGAGGAGGACGGAGGCCCTGTCCCCGGTGTGTCCCCTGCTGGGGTCTCAGCTCTGTCAGGACATGAGCAGGACACTGTGCCCCTCGGGGGACCTCGGAAGACAGGGGACCTGCTCCCGCCCGGTCCCTCAGGCGGGGACGTGGCCCTGTGTAAGGAAGAGACGCGGCCATGACGGTGGCCGTCCCCCCCCCCCGTGACACGAGCAGAGACCAGGGAGGGACACACGTCTCTTTATTGTCCTCGGGCCCCAGGGTGGCCGGATGCGGGCAGCGCCTTGGTGGCCAGGATGGCATCGTGGACGCCGCCCGTTCTGCGCAGCGCGAAGCCCCCGAAGCCGGCGTCCGCCAGCAGCGCCCGGAACTGGGCGGCGGTCCTCTCGCGGCCCTCGGCCTGCAGCAGCATGTTGAGCGAGCCCAGCAGCGTGGCCAGCGGGCCCCGGCCGTCCGCGTCCAGCACGCGCTCCACCACCAGGACGCCGCCACCTGGGGGGCGAGCCACTGTCCCCGGGGCCACCAGGACCGGTGACCTCAGGGGACAGCGGGGCACTGTCCCCGGGACACACGGAGGCTGCGCCCAGGACCCAAGGGTCACCAGGACGGTGGCCTCAGAGGACAGCTGGGCACATGGAGGAGTCCGCTGACACGTGACAGGCTGGCCCCCGAGGAGGCCCGGCCGTCCCCCCGATTAGGTGGCTCTAGTGTCCGCTGGCCCTCAAGGCCAGCCTTGCTGTGGCCACTCCTCTGGGAGGACAGCCTGCGGGACGTCCCCACCCCCGTCACAGGAGGCCCCGCGCCCCGCCCTGTCCCCTACCGGGCCTGCAGGCGTGGTGGACGCTGGCCAGCAGCCGGGAGCACGTCTCGTCTGACCAGTCGTGCAGGACCCTGGCCAGGATGTAGAGGTCAGCCTCGGGGAGGGGGTCCGCAAAGAAGTCCCCTGCAACACACGGGGGTCCCGTCCGGCCGGCTTCACAGCGACCAGCAGAGATGGACCCTGGGCAGCCCGGGTGACCGTCTCCCCCTGCAGCGGGCCACGCGGGGATGGCGGACCCCACGGCCCCGGGCCGGGGACACAGGCGATGGCCACAGAGCCCCAGACGCGGCCGAGTGGAGGACGTCCGGGGTCTGTGTGGTCCCTCCCTGGGGACGCGGGGCCACGCTGGACATGAACGGCGTCCCCCGGGCACTCAGGATGGACAGCCCCACCCGGGCCTGGCGGGCACCCTCTGTGCAGAGTGGACGCCGCCCACCGCTCACTGTCGCCCCCAGTGGCCATCTCCGTGGGAAGAGCCCCCCGTCCTACCTTCACGGAAGCCCACCTGGCCCTCCGTCGGCAGCGGGAGGTGGGCCCTGGCCGTCTGCACCACCTCGGGGACCTCGAACACGGTGACCCGGCACCCGGGGTACAGGGAGGCGCACTGCTGGGCCAGCGCCCCGGCCCCACCTGGAAGAGACCGCAGGCGGAGGACCATGGAGCGTGCCCAGCGTCGCGCACTGAGCCACAGGCACAGCCGCTCGGGGACCCTCTCTTGGCCCAGAGCCAGGTGTCCCAGCGGTGGCTCTGATGCCCGCGGACCGTGAGGACGGGAGGCTGGGGCCTCGGTCTCTCGGGGACCTTGCTCAGCCTGTGGAACAGGCCCTGCGTGTGGCCCTGGGATCTGGGCTGCCCGGGGCCATCTGTCACTGTGACACGGTGCCTGAGGCCAGGCGCGTGGAAAGAACAGGAAAAAAAGGTTTGGTTTGGTTTTCATGCTGAGCCCGGGGCCTCGCCGAGTGGCTTGGGCCTCGCCGAGTGATGAGCTTTGAACCCGCGATCCTCCTGCCCCGGCCTCCTGACCTCTGGGAGGACAGGCTGAGGCCCAGGCCAGGGGAGGGGTGGCTCTCCAGCCCCCGGTTCTGGTGGTCAGCGCTACAGCTGGTGGCGCTCTTCCTGGTGGTGCCCTTCCTGGTGGTGCCCAGCGAGGGACGTGGACGGAGCATCCACGCTCGGGCTGAGGGACACCTGTCTGTCCCTGGGAGGCCCATGGACCAGCAGCGCGTCCCAAGCTTGTGAGGACAGCAATTCTCAGGACCCTGTGGGTGGCCCCAGGGTGGCCCACGGCCCGAGTCTCCAAGGGCCACTGAGAACCTCAGATCCACCCGGGCACCCTCCATCAGCACGGCCAGAGGGCCCCGGTGAAAACCAAGATGGCGCTCGGGGTGTGGAGGCCAGGATGGTGCACAGCTGTGGAGGCCAAGATGGCACATGGGATGTGGAGGCCAAGATGGCGCATGGGATGTAAAAACCAAGATGGCGCTCAAGGTGTGGAGGCCAGGATGGCGCACGGGGTGTGGAGGCCAGGATGGTGCTCAGGGTGTGGAGACTAAGATGGCGCACGGGGTGTGGAGGCCAAGATGGCGCATGGGATGTAAAAACCAAGATGGCGCTCGGGGTGTGGAGGCCAGGATGGTGCACAGCTGTGGAGGCCGGGATGGTGCACAGGCTGCGCACTGTCCCCAGTGGGACTTCCGTTCAGTCTGACTGGCGCTCTCAGAGCGAGGGCCCGAGGCTCCGACAGGCAGGGAAGGGAGGGACTGTCCATCTGGGGCGTGGTCTTCCTGCCCATGGCCGACCCCAGGGGACGAGAGTGTCCCGCGCGGAGTCTCCCCTGAGCCCCGAGGACCTCCCATGTTCTATGTCCAGGTTCCCTGAAGGCCCGAGGCTCCCTGCTCCCAACACGGAGGTCCATGGAGAACTCCCGCCTCCCTGCGGCCACCGGTGGGTCCCCAGCCTGGAGCGGTCGGGAGGTGGCGGCACCTAGTGGGGACCTGAGGTCACTGGACCAGTGTGCTGCAGGGTCACTGGGACCCCAGGCTCGTCCTCTTGTCTTCTTTCTCCTCTGCCACTCGCGCCCACCGTCACGTGCGGCTGCCCCAAGGCCCCGCCTCCAAGACGGGGACCCAGAGTCGACTTTTCTCTTGACCAGTCGCATGTCTCGGGCCTTCGTCGCAGTGACCAGGAGCTGAGTGTCACAGGGCCACACGGGGAGGCACTGGGGTGGCCCACCGTCCACCGCTGACCCTGGTGGGCAGGCGGGGATTGGGTAGTTGGGAGAGTCTCGGTGACAGTCAGGTGGAAAACGTCCCTATGGACTCCCTGGGTGTAGACTAACAGTGGATTAATCCATTTGGATGGACTCACTGGGTGTAGACTAAAAGTGGATTAATCCACTTGGATGGACTCACTGGGTGGTGGCTGCAGCAGGTGGGGTGTGTCTGGAGGAGAGGGTCCCTGGGCTGTGCCTTTGGGGTCTCTGTCCTGTCCCTGGTGAGCAGAGCTCTCTCTGCTCCCTGGTGTAGACTCATAGTGGATTAATCCACTTGGATGGACTCACTGGGTGGTGGCTGCAGCAGGTGGGGTGCAGCTGGAGGAGGGGGTCCCTGGGCTGTGCCTTTGGGGTCTCTGTCCTGTCCCTGGTGGGCAGAGCTCTCTCTGCTCCCTGGTGCCCTGTTCTGAGCTGCTCTCCTCCTCTAGGCCCTGCCGCCATCTTGTGAAATGATTGGGTTGTAAGAGGTGTAGACTAATAGTGGATTAATCCACTTGAGTGGACTCACTGGGTGTAGACTCACAGTGGATTAATCCGCTTGGATGGACTCACTGGGTGTAGACTAATAGTGGATTAATCCGCTTGGATGGACTCACTGGGTG